GGGAAAAAAAAAAAAAAAAAAAAAAAAAAAAAGAAATACCATTGCAGTTTAAATTCAAATTCTAGTTGCACTCCATCGAGTATTTATCCTCGCGATATGTGAAAAATAAGAAAAAAAAAAAAAAAAATACGTAATTACAATACCTCGTAAACCGCGCCGAGAGGCATGACCAGACAGGCGACCATGAGATCGGCGACGGCCAGGCTGACGATCAAATAATTGGCCACCGATTGCAGGTTCCGCTCGAGCAGGATCGCAGCTATCACGAACAGGTTCCCTGGAACAAAAATTTCCCCTCTGCGTCAGTCAATGTACGTCCCTTCTCTTCGTTCCGTTTCGTATTCCACCGCGAAAGTAAGTAATTCAATTCCTCTCCTCCCCCCTTCGAATAATCGTGGCAACGGAAATCTTGCACTCGAGGAATGCTCTCGAAACATCTCACAGTCCGTTTCATCAACGTTATCACGCTTGCCCACCTACGTGAGACGCACTTTGAGGACTTTGAGGTTCGCTGCAACTTTTAGGGAGACGACGTTTTAATCGTAGATCCGGTTAGTTGCGCTACAACTACTCTCTCTTTACTTGTCTCGTAAATAATTCATAAGCTGATTACCAAGGAAAAGCGCGAATACATGCACGATTCGAGAGTTGCCCGTGAAATTTCGCGCGTATTACTTCCTTCTCTTAATAATTCCTCGATGGAGAACGTCGCTATTCAACCCCTTCTCCTTCCTCGAGGCGAGGTGAAATACCATAGGCGGGAGGAATCGCGGGAGGAATCGCCCTCCAACTCGAGAATTTTCAACCTGAAATTTCCCTAAATCAGTCGACTTCATCAATCTTCGTTATCCTTTGATTGCCGAGTGCACAGGTGGTTAACACTTCGACTAATTATCCGCCAATACGACGGAAGATATATATCTATCCGCCAGGTAAGTTTCATTTGTCAGCAAATGAGGGACGTTCGGGGACGACAACTCCAGTAATTAGTCTTTCCACTGTTTGTCCCCGCTTTGAAGGTTGGCCCGAATGTTTCGACAATCCGCGTGATCTGCTCGTTCGGCCCGCCAGGAATAAACAGACACTGGCTCCGATCTCGTCTAATCATTCCTCCCCTCCGAATTCTCGTCCATCCAATCGCTCGTCAACCGATAAATTAATTCGCGAAAACGACGATCGCTGGATAACAAAATAACGCGAACGATACAAAGAAAGAAAGAAAGAAAGAAAGGGAAAAAAAGAACGCTCGGATATTCGGGAATTTATCTATCGTTTGCCTAAATCGAAGAGGAGGGGGACGATATCGATTTCGCTTCGTGAAATAGAACGGCGCAGTTAATCAAGCGACGATCGAGATCGATCATCTTCGATCACGCGGGGAAAAAAGGGAGGGAGAAAGGGGCGAGGCGGCAAAAATTTTCACCCTCGCGAAAATATAATTTATCGGGGGGAGTTGGATCGACGCGGTTTAAATCAATGTTGAGATTAACGGTTTGCCGCGTTACAACCGCGTCACGGCCAGGTTACACGGTTTTCTACTCCATTTCGATCCATCGGTAGAAACGTACGAGCGTTCGACACCTTCGACACTTTTGCGGTGTCCTCCTCCTCGTTCTAATCTTCTTTTTTCTTTTTTTTTTTTTTTTTTTTACGATAAGAGATAGCTCTTTCTAGGGGCGTGTAAAGCGCGGATGCGAAAGGATTTGTATGGGAAGGCGAAATCCGCAACGTGTATAACGGAAAGAGGGAAGGGGAAAGTCGCGACCGATCCGGAAAGATTTCCCCCTTCGAAAGTTAAATCGTCCAAGTTTCAACGATCGTGGCTCGAATACGAGCACTTTTTTTTACGGCACTGTAAACTGAAGACTCGGCATAAAACGTTTAATACGTATAAATGAACGGTGCTCGGTTCTTTTCAAATTAGCCTTCTCTTTTTTCCTCTCCGTTTGCGGACGGTATTAAAATTGTTCTTTGTTCGGGGAAATGATTGTACGTGCACGATGGAACTTTGGATTCCACTTATCTTCTTTTTTTTTTCTTTCTTTCTTTCTTTTCTTTTTCTTTCTTTTCAAACTCGAAGCGTGGCCGTAAGTTCGATGACAAAGTTGGGGCAAAGATCGCCGGGCTCGGGGCAAAGATCGTGCGGAGGATTGCAAGCTCGGCTGCGGTGGCAAATTCGTTTAAGGGGCGCGAGGAGATCGCTGCAAGATCGTGATATTAAAGTCAACGTCGCGCCAAGATTTTTGAATCCTCTTCTCCCACGAAGAAGCTTGTAAATTCGATAAAGAGGTCGGCCGAGAGTTTGGTATACTTTTCAGAATACGGAATTTCGAGAAAATATTACCCACCCCACGTCGCTTTCAACGACGGTGGGTCGTCAATTATGATAATGACCCTACGTTCTTTTCGATTTAAAGATCGCTCGAAACGATCCTTAAAAATCGCATAAACGTTTTTCCTCGCGTCAAGCTTATTCAAGGAACAATTTCACATTGTTACGGGCGATAACCTACTTTTTTCTCAATACAATTTCCTCTCTTCACCGCCGTAAATTAAACACAAAACTAAATAATACTTGAGCAGTTTTATATTCTTGCGAATCTTATTCTCTATCTTATTTTACATCGTATTTTACATCGTATTCTCCTGCATAAAACGAGAAGATACACAATCGAAAGATATACATCCTTTTCATCCTGCCGTTCGTTCATTCATTCGTAATGGCGAAATTTCCTCTGTCGACAAAGCTTCTTTCCCGTGCAACAAATATGCGCACCGTTATCCAACCGGTTCGTTAAGGCCATTGAACCGTCGTTAATCGTGGTCACCATGTTTTATTATAAACGTGAATACGTGACACGACCCGTACAAAATGCGTGACGCGAAAGCGGAAGCGCGATGTTAAACGGCGATGTTCCTGATTCTGGTTTCAAGGCGAACGCAGTTGGCGAACGCAGGTGGAATATGTAACACGGGCGGGAACCGGTGGCCGAAACCCATTCTTCTTAAATTATTCAATCTCCCCTCTCGCGAGAGAATGCACGCACGAAAATTTTCCCGATATTGCAAATCGTCTTCCCTCCGCGATACATCATCCGATCGTTCGAAGGAAAATCGCACGATACGCAGAATATCGTCCCGTTTCTCCCATTCTTTATTTTTACACGACACGTATTCAATATATTTCAAACGTAAAAAAAAAAAAAAAGAAGAACGCGCAATCGCACAGAGATAGTAAAACACGTGCGCGTAAAACGATAAGAAGGAAGTAGACGAAGAATATAATAAATTGGAATTGATTGTGGATGAAAAATTCGATCTTATCGTCTTTCGTCTTTTCTTTTCTTTCCTTTTCCTTTCTTTTCTTCTTTCTCAAGCGGATGAATTAAATTTTCGTTATCCGAGAATCGAGATAAAGAAGAGAAAAAGGAGAAATAAGTAAGTATCTCTTTACCGGAAAGGTAAAATCAAACGGCTATTTATTATCAAACAGGCAATTATTGGACAATAAATGTGGCAAAGTATCGAGTGGGCGAACCGATTCGATATTTATTGAACCGTAATACGGAGATTATAGGTAAGCTATACAGTTCCTAGCAGCAGTTTAAACAGCCGGGTGTACTCGAAACCCGAGAAATATCGGGGAAACCGATTCCGCTGCGCGACAAGATGGAAAATAATAATAATTTTTAACACGCCACGCGTCATCAATTTCCCGCGGTTTAACGAACAGAGACGAATTGGAATAATTACACGACAGTTTGCCACGCGGCGTTCTCATCCGTACGAAAATTTTGGCTTCCATCGTAATAAAATTGCTCTAATTTCGACACGGATCGAGCATCGTTCAAGCCGGATCGTTAGTTAGCCGGTGAACTGCAGCAACAACACAGAATTTACAATCACAGACGGATGGACAACTCGCAGAAAGTAGGGAGCGGGGGAGGGGATGGAAACAACCGACTGGTTGTGATCCGCGCGTATGAATATGCATGGCTGCCATCAATGACAACGTCCTTCTTAATCACGTCGTCGCTTAATCAGAGGCAGGACTTTTCGAGACCAAGTTTAATCGCGTTCGACGTCTGTGACGCGCTGATGATGGCCCGAAACTTTCCCCCTCAACAACCTCCCCCACTCGATCATTAGCGATGCAACCGTTACCGCCATCGGGTTGTAAATAAGAGAACTTGGCCGGAACGTAAAGCCGAGTTTCAGGAAAGCGTAAACTCCGAGCTTTGAGCCTTGATTCCGAGCTAACTCGACGAAATTAATCATCCAATCCTCCCGGAATGGAACTGTCTTCGATATCGCGTATTTTGCCCGCGCGATTCGAATCCCTCAGCGATGATAAAAGAGAAAACGTTTCCCCCGTTTAATTATCCCCGTGATTTTAATATCGAGCGAATACCTTCGTCGAGAATAAACGACGAGCTTTCTCTCGAAGCGAGCCGTCAACTATGCGTCGAATTTTATTACTTAATTTCAATAATTCTTCGGGGAAATGAATTCTGATCTTGGAGTAATCGATCGAGAGGAATAACGACTTTTTTTTCTTCTTCGAAGGTACAATTTCTAATCTTATAGAGTCCACGAGTTATCTTTCGAAAGGATATCGAGAGGATACGGTTACGATACAACGATACGCGAATGGAGATGTTTCGTCACGAATCGGCGATACATTTGGTAAAAACGAATATCGAGGGGAGGAGAGAGAGAGAGAGAGAGAGCGATGTTCGTTCGAGCGTTCGCGAGACTGCCAGCCGGAAATTTACTGTCATATTTATTTCCGGAACGTTCATCGGCGCGTTACAATTTTCCTATCGAACGCGATAGTCGATAGATCACTCCAAGTAACGATCGAATTCTCGCTCTTCTCTCCCATCTCTCTCTCTCTCTCTCACTCTCTCGATTCGAGAGTCAAATAAACGAGAGAAAAGTCTTCCATCGCGAATACTTCGGCCAACTATGTACACTTACCGGTTAAATTCTTTCGTGGCAAAACTCATTGATTTCGCGCAACTTTTGCCAAGGTTCAAAGAATTTCCACTCGACCCGGCCCGTTCTAATTAAAGTAGTTCGCATCCAACTCATATTCCCAGAAAACTTTTCTTATCCTTTCGCCGTTTACTTTTTCACCCCCCTCCGGGAAAATATTTCGCGATATCCTCTTTTCCCTTCCGTCCATCGTCCTCCTCTTGTCCCCTCTCGTTATCGAAATTTGTTAAATCGATTATACGATTATTCATTTATTTTTCTTTCCCTTCCAACATTTATATTTCGATTAATCCATTTGAATTTTGCGAATTTAATTTTATCGATCCCAGGAATTTGAAGAAAACTTGTTGTTGTTTTGAATCGCGTCGAGATACGATTATTCATTTATTTTTCTTTCCCTTCCAACATTTATATTTCGATTAATCCATTTGAATTTTGCGAAATTTAATTTTAATTTTATCGATCCCAGGAACTTGAAGAAAACTTGTTCCTCTCGAAAATTTTGAATCGCTCGTAAGCATAGAATAGGCAATGTGCAACGTCCGTGAGGATTCTCGTTGCAAATCGACGAGAGTGGATTCGTTTGGCAACAACAATGAAATTTATCAGGAATACGATGAATCGAGAATGATAAACGAGTCCTCGGGGTGTCCTCGGGGATTAATTAATAACGTCCGAGATAAGAGAAGTAAAGTCTCGAAACGGAAGGAAACGGTGGACAGAAATTTATAGTTCGATTTTTCGCGCGTTTATTAACGTGGATTAAAATTTATCAATTATAATTCGTTCATCTGGAAATTGAACGAATCGATCGATTCGAATCGAACGAAAAATATCGGGAGTTTTCCGATTTTTCGAACGGACGTGAATCGATCCCAACGTCGAATGATAATATCCCTCGGTGGTGGGCATATAGCAGAATCCAGTATGGAACGGCATAAAGGTTTACGATCCTTTTCTATACAGCTTAAATAGGCTATTCAATATCCTGGACGACTAAACTACCTTCTTTCTACCTTCGGCCATTGCAGGCCGTAATAGAAGAGACGCGGTCGATATGGGCAGCGCTTTTCCTCCACGTGAAAAAGACATCCAACTTTCTCAGGAAGCACCGTTGTATAATATATATATATATATATAAAGAAATATCACGATTCGAAACCGACTCGAAACGTGGAATCGAATCCGTCGTTCGAAAGCAGAAATATTCTACCGTTTGAGGATAGAAAAAGAAATATTATTATTTCATCGACGGGTATAACAAGTAACGTTTCAATCCTTCTCCATAATCGTCTTTCATTGTGATTTCTCCCTATTATTTCAGCCGGAAGAACACACCTCCTGTTCGAATATTCGATCGAATCTCCAATCTCGCCTCGAATTAAATTCACCGATTGAAAATGATGATCGATCCCCATTTGGAAATCGGGCGAAATTTCATTATCACGATTTTCACGGATTCGACACCGATAATACGAATTCCACGCTGCGAAATTCCGGGCAAAAATTTCCTCATTTATATCGGCACGCGGCGGTGTCGCGTTTCAATTACGTGGCCTACGCCCAATATTTGATCATGTAACAATTCGCTAATGACGGGGCTAACGAAATGAATTAATTAACAACTATTAGACGAACAACTCGTGCGTACGATCTAACCTACCTACGTCGATAGATTTAGCATTATGGACGAAACAATCATCACCGCTGCTTCCTTGTTATGCCGAGTTATTAATTATCAAACGAGAGAGAGCCACTGTATTAATTATCAAAGTTTTCACAGTTTCGGAGGAAATATCCCGAGCACAGTGGTTGCCAACCGCAAATATATCGAAATATCGATCCGATAATTAGATTTTCAGAACGATATTGACCGCGGCTTGACGTTCCAAGATCGGTGTCGATTTGATCGCGTAAATCACTGGGGTGGGGAAAGAAACTCGTTGAAAATACAAAAAAAAAAAAAAAATCCCATGAATTTTTCATTTTCGATCTCGTAAACTTAATTTGGAATTTGGACACGACGTAACAAAAATAGCTTTTCGAAAACAACAACATCGGCCCGTTCGATGAAATTAAATTGGATTGCCGGCTCGAGATTCGAATTCGGCGAGACAACGTTCGTTTTTTTAATCGAAATTTTTTCCTTTCTAATTTTTTGTTCCTTCTTCCTCTCTTTTTCTCGATCAAAGTCGTCTCTTGAATTATACGAGTATAATTCGAGAGGAGGAAAGTTGATAGAAGATTGGAGGTGGCGGCAAAAAATGTAATTAACAATCCTTTCAAGGTGGCCTGAATCTCGTTAGCCATTCTCAGAAATGGGAGAGATCTCGAGGAGTGGGGCGGTGTCTCGCAAATTCTATTTGACTTCGAGGCGGCGAGCGAGGAATTAAGCAATCTTCAGCTTATCAAACGTATGGAACAAAAACTGATCTAAAGATATTCCTTATTTCTTCCTTTAAACTCGAGTTTTCGATCGTTCTCTCGAAACTCGCGCGTGGCACATAAAAAGGCAGAACGCGTGAATGTTGTTTCTCTCGATAAGAAACAAGAGAACGAACGAACGAACGAACGACAAATCGATACTCGATAATTGAATTCTGAAATAAACACGTTTCAAAGATATCGTTTCTGCATAATTATCTCGTTACACTTTGCATTTTTTTGCAAGTTTAATAAGCTATTGAAATGCAAATTGTCTTTGAGTCGCATACGTGAATGTAATCGTGAAGTGATTAATAAACGGAAAATATAATGAAACGTTTTTGGATCGATTTTACATGGCGAACAAACAGGTAAAAACGTCAACGTAAAGTTAATCCATCGAATTATTAATTAACTTAACGCGGTTAAGTTCGCCTCGGTCGAATAGAATGCGATGATAAACGCGTATAAACGCGTGATCGAACAACGTCCTACTGAGTTAATAAACCACGCGTCAACCAACCGTTCTTCCTTTTTTTTTTTCGTCATATCTATTTTCACCGCTATCAAACCTATCCTTCAAAAATATAATTCGCCAATATATCAACACGACGGTAAATATTCGCATTAAAATTCGCAGCGCGACGATACACCCTCTCCCTGCAAATGTCACGAAAGAGAAAGTACACATCCATCCATGAGAGGAGAAATAATAGATACGATATTTTTCGCAGGCTGTGTCGAACATCGCGCTCGACGCAACGCCTCATGAAATTCCAATCGAACCATTAACCACCTGATAACACTTCCAACTCGTTTCAACCCGCGGATATTCCTCCCCAACTTTCCAAATCCCTCCACCTTCCTCCTCCTCCGTAAATCCTGGGGGGAGGCGTCACCCTCGTCATCCCACCCCCGATAATACATCGAGCGGTGTGGAAACGTGTCAGGTTTAGATTAATCTTCCATTGTGCCCGCGCAGTTGTGCGCCATCCGCGAAATTGCGCAACGACACCGTTTCGTCAAACTCGACTTTCAACGAGAAGATTGTACGACAATCGATCCATCGATCGATCGATCGTTCCAAGGGGAGGGAGGGGACACGCGTAGGGATCCGCGAAACGAAAACGACCACGCCGCTTTGCCAAGCGTTTCCGTTCCTTTCGAGGCTGGTATCGACGGCTCGAATCAATCGGAACACCAACTTCCAACACCAAGATCCATCTCCCTCCCTCGGGAGGGTATATCCGAAAGCAATTACTCCGCTCGGAATGGAGAAACGGTTCACACCTCGGCGGAAGGTCGCGATCTTTCGAAACGATACCGAGGAGAACATTGAATTATCGACGAATCTTCCTCGTCGTCCTCGTGTTAAATAAATATTCCAACATCTGGATTTTAATCCGTTACAGAGTATTACAACTGTTGGGATCTCTGCTTCTTACCTTCCCTTTTGTCATTTTTATTTTAATTTTTATCGCGGTTTATCTTTGTCGGTTTCGTTTTTCTTTCGGAGAAACGATTTCAGGGGAACGATTTTCGAGGACTTGTCGTTCCTTTCTTTCTTTCTTTTTTTCTTTTCCTTTTAATATATCGATTCGAAACTCGTGTTTTCGAATCTCATTTTACACTCGATAGTTTTTGCACAAGTTGCCCGGGAAACAATAAAACTTTGCGCGTAAGTTCGTTTTAACAACGTATCGAGTTTGTTCGAGCAAAGAGAGAGGTGGAACTTACCGACAACGGTGACGAGTATCAAGAGACCCAGCACCAATGTTCTCAGAATGATCGAGGCATCCGTGAAAACCAACCCCTCCGAGGTCGAGTTCCTCGTCTGGTTCACGTGTTCCTCCATTACGCGCTACGCGATGTATCCTCTATCCAGGCAGGGCTGTCGTCAATGTCTGTCGATTATCATCTCTTCGATGAACGTGGCATGGTCGAAACAGCAGATACGAATGTTCCGTTCCGAGAGAGACGACGACAGGAGAGGATATTAATTCGTTGATATTTCAATAAAACGTGCGTCGTCCACTTGTATCCCGCAACCTCGGCTTCCGTACGTTTCCCCGCGATCCATCTCGCGGACGATCATGCACGTCGCCCTTCGAATTGCCCCGTTCCTCCTCAACTCGAGCGAGCCTGCAACATAAGAAAGGTAAAAGTGTCAATCGAGGACGAATAAAACTTGTGCGAAAATAAACGGTCAAGAAGAGAATTCCGCTCGTCCAACTGTCCCTGTTTTGTGCCCACTTAACCACGAGTGTCTTTGGGAAGGGAAAGATCGAGAAGAACGAGAGGGTATCATCGTGGCACGCGAAAACCGATGAAATTGAAGTAATCGATCGACAATTATTGGAATTGATGACATTATCGGCGCACTCTCGGTTCGATTATAAATATAGGCGAGGGAAGAGAGAGAGAGAGAGAGAGAGAGAGAGAGAGAGAGAGAGAGAGAGAAGA